AATTTTTTGTGTCAAAAATCAAATTTTTTGCATCAAAAATCAAATTTTTTTCTTCAAAAAATAAATTTTTTACTTCCAAATTGGTTTTTCTTTGCATCAAAATCTGCTTTTTTTGGCTTCAAAATGAGCTTGTTCTGGGTAAAATTGGCATTTTTTGGGCACAAAATTCACAGTCTTTGTTCAAAATATGTTTTATTTGATAAAAATTCACAGTGGTGGGTTCAAAATAGGCTGGTTTTGGCCTCAGAATTCACATTTTTGGGTCAAAATTCGAATTTTTCTGTTCAAAATTTGGTTTGATTGGCTCAAAAGTCCCTTTTTTGGCCTCAAAATTTGCTTTTTAGGGTCAAAATTCCCTTTTTCAGGCCAAAATCTGCTTTATTTGGCTCAAAATTCACATTTTGGGCTTAAAATTCAATATTTTGGAACAAAAGTCACTTTTTCAAGGACAAATTCTCCTTTTTTGGCCTCATAATTCAAATTTTCGGGAGAAAATTTGCTTTATTTGCCCCAAAAATTCACAGTTTTGGGCTCAAAATTCACTTTTTCTGGCCGAAGTTCACTTTTTCGGGCTTAAAATTCACAATTTTGGGCTGAAAATTTCACTTTACTGGTCTCAAAATCTGTAATTTTGCCTCAAAAATGACATTTTTGGGCTAAAAAATTCCATTTTTTTCTCAGGATTTGGGTTTTGAGTTGTGTTTTTTTCCCCAGGTACGAAGTTGACGACATCGACGAGGAAGGGAAGGAGTGAGTGACAAAAAAAACTTCTCAAATTTCCTTTAAAATGCCCCAAAATCCCTGGTTTTCCTGTCAAAATCACGGAATTTCCCACAAAATCCCAATTTTCCCTGCCAAAAATCCCAATTTTCCCTATAAAACCCAAAAATTTTCACAATTTTACCCCAAAAATTCCAATTTTTCCTGACAAAAATCCCAATTTTTCAACAATTTTCCCCCATAAAAATCCCATTTTTTTCCCCATTTTCCCCCAATTTTCTCCCCAAATTTTTCCCCATAAAATTTCCAATTTTCCCCCGTAAAACCCCCATATTTTTCCCAAAAAAATCCTTTTTTTTCCCCCAAAAATCCAAATTTTTCCTCATAAAAGTCCCAAATTTTCCCCTGTAAAATTCCCATTTTCTCCCCAAATTTTTTCCCATAAAAATTCCAATTTCCCCCCATAAAACCCACAAATTTTTACAATTTTTTTGGTTACAAAATCCCAATTTTTTACCATAAAACTCTCAATTTTTTCACCAATTTTTCCCTGTAAAAATCCCAAAATTTTCTCACAAAAAAATCCCATTCCCCCTCCTTTTTTCCCCCCAAAATCTCATTTTTCCCCCAACTTTCCCACATAAAAGTCACAATTTTTTCCCAAAAAACTTCAATTTTTTTCTCCATAAAATTCCCATTTTCTCCCGTAATTTTCCCCATAAAAATCCAAATTTTCCCCCAGTTTTTCCCCATAAAAATCTCATTTTTCCCCCATAAAAATCCCAATTTTTCTCCAATTTTCCCCCATAAAAGTTCCAATTTTTTCCCAAAAAAATTCAATTTTTTTCCCCAAAAATCTTTTTTTTCCCCCATAAAATTCCCATTTTCCCCCATAAAAATCCCATTTTTTGCCCCCCCAAAAAATTTCATTTCTCCCCATTTTCTCCCCAAAATTTATCCATAAAAATCCCAATTTTCACCAATTTTCCCCCATAAATGTCCTGAACTTTTCTCCATAAAAGTCCCAAATACTTCCCCAAAAAAAATCCCATTTTTTCTCCCAAAAATTCCAAATTTTCCCCCATAAAAATCCCATTTTCCCCTTCAAAAATCCCATTTTCTCCCCAAATTTTTCCCCTTAAAAATCCCAATTTTTCCCCATAAAAACCCCAATTTGCCCCCAATTTTCCCCCATAAAAATCCCAATTTTCCCCCGTTTTCATCACAAATTTTTTCCCATAAAAATCCCAATTTCCCCCCATAAAACCCCCATATTTTTCCCAAAAAAATCCCATTCTTTCCCCCATAAAACTCCCAACTTTTTCTCCCAAAAATCCCAAATTTTCCCCTATAAAAATCCAATTTTTTCCCCATTTTCGTCTCAAACTTTTCCTCATAAAAATCCCAATTTTCCCCCAATAAACCCCCAAATTTTTGCCATTTTCCCCTTCAAAAATCCCAATTTTTCCCCTATAAAAATCCCATTTTCTCCCCAAATTTTTCCCCTTAAAAATCCCAATTTTTCCCCATAAAAATCCCAATTTCCCCCCAACTTTCCCCCATAAAAAACCCAAATATTCCCCATAAAAATCCCAATTTTTTACCAATTTTTCCCCCACAAATCCCATTTTCTCCCCATAAAAATCCCCTTTGGCCCCCCAAAAAATCCTATTTTTTCCCGCCAAAACCCCAATTCCTCCCCATAAACCCCCCCAAACCCCCCCAAACTTTCCCATTTTTCCCAAAATCCCCTTTTTTCGCCCCAAAAACAAGGCGCCACACCCTGAGCCGCCGTCGCATCATCCCCCTGCCCCAGTGGAAAACCAACCCCGAGACGGACCCCGAGGCTCTGTTCCACAAGGATCAGCTGGTGCTGGCCCTGTACCCGCAGACCACCTGCTTCTACCGCGCCCTCATCCACGCCCCGCCCCAGCGCGTGAGTGCCCGGCCCAAAATCGGCCGAAATCGCCCCAAAAATCCGCTTGAAAATGAGGATTTTTGGGAAAAAATCGACGCGGCCACTAGGGGGCGCTGTGGGTAAAGGGAGGGGGTTGCTAAGGGGCGGGGCTTGTTGCTAGGGTGGTATTACCATAAAAGGGAAAATCAAGGCAGGTGCTAGAGGGCGCTGTGGGAGCTTGGAGGGGTTGCTAAGGGGTGGGGCTTGTTGCCAAGGGAGGTGTTACCATATAAGGGGAAATCAACATGGGCAGTAGGGGATGCTGTGGGTAAAGGGAGGGGGTTGCTAAGGGGCGGGGCTTGTTGCTAGCGTGGTATTACCATATAAGGGAAAATCAAGGCAGGCGCTAGAGGGCGTTGTGGGAGCTTGGAGGTGTTGCTAAGGGGTGGGGCTTGTTGCCAAGGGAGGTGTTACCATATAAGGGAAAATCAACATGGGCAATAGGGGGCCTTGTGGGTAAAGGGAGGGGGTTGCTAAGGGGCGGGGCTTGTTTCTGGGGTGGTATTACCATATAAGGCAAAATCATTGCAGCCACTAAGGAGCCCTGTGGGAGCTTGGAGGGGTTGCTAAGGGGCGGGGCTTGTTGCTAAGGGAGTTGTTACCATATAAGGGAAAATCAAGGCAGGCGTTAGGGAGTGCTGTGGGTAAAGGGAGGGGGTTGCTAAGGGGCGGGGCTTGTTGCTAGGGTGGTATTACCATATAAGGGAAAATCAAGGCGGGCACCAGGGGGCGCTGTGGGTAAAGGGAGGGGGTTGCTAAGGGGTGGGGCTTGTTGCTAGCATGGTATTACCATATAAGGGAAAACCAAGGAAGGCTCTAGAGGGCGCTGTGGCAGCTTGGGGGGGTTGCTAAGGGGTGTGGCTTGTTGCTAAGGCAGGGATCACCATGTAAGGGAAATGCTAAGGTATTGCTATATTTGTTGCTAGCATGGTATTACCATATAAGGGAAAACCAAGGAAGGCTCTAGAGGGCGCTGTGGCAGCTTGGGGGGGTTGCTAAGGGGTGTGGCTTGTTGCTAAGGCAGGGATCACCATGTAAGGGAAATGCTAAGGTATTGCTATATGAGGGGTTGCTAAGGGGTGTGGCTTGTTGCTAAGGAGAGGCATTGCTATATAAGGGGGTTGCTAAGGGGTGTGGCTTGTTGCTAAGGAGAGGTATTGCCACATAAGGGGGGTTGGAAAGTGCCCTATTACCTTATAAGGAGGTTGCTAAGGGGCGTGGCCTGTTGCTATGCACCTATTACCATATAAGGAAGCAACCTGGGGGCATGGTTCCTTTTCTAATTCTTATTTTTTCCCAAAAATCCCAAATTTTTCCCCAAATTTCCCAGCCCCAGGACGATTATTCGGTGCTTTTCGAGGACACCTCCTACGCCGACGGTTACTCCCCACCCCTGAACGTGGCCCAGCGCTACGTGGTGGCCTGCAAAGAGACCAAAAAAAAGTGAAAATTGGGGAAAAAACACCCAAAATTCGGGAAAAACGACCCAAAATTCAGGAAGAGCGGCCTGGAATTAAGGGGGGAGGGGAGAATGGGGGAAAAAAATGAGATTTTTGGGGGGAAAAATGGAAAAAATGTGATTTTTTTAAGGGGAAAAATGAAGGGGTTTTGAGGGGAAAATGTAATAAAAATTGGCATATTTCTGGAAAAATTTTGGGGTTTTTTATCAAGAAAAAATGGGGTTTATGTGGGGGGAAAAATGGGATTTAAAAGGGGAAAAACGGAAAAAAATCAGATTTTTTAACGGGGAAAAATTGGGATTTTTGTGGCAGGAAATAGGGAGTTTGTGGGGGAATAAATGGGATTTTTTTGTGGGGAAATTGGGATTTTTATGGGTAAAAAAATGGGAATTTTGGGATTGTTTTTGGGGAAAAATAAGGATTTTTATGGGGAAAAACGGGGTTTTCATGAGGAATAAATTTGTAGTTTTTGGGCGCAAAAAATGGGATTTTTAGTGGGAAAAATTAAGATTTTTTTGGGGGAAAATTTGTTGTTATTGGGGGAAAACAGAGTTTTGGAAGGAAAGTGAAAATTCTTTTGAGAAAAAATTGAAATTTTTAGGGGGAATATTTGGAATTTTTAAGGGAAAAATTGAGGTTTTTTTGGGAATAAAAGTGGGATTTTTCTGGGCAAATTTAAAATATTTTGGGGTTTTTTAAGGGAAGTAATTGGGATTTTTGGGGGGTAAAATGAGGGGGAAAATGACTCAAAATTTAGGAAAAAATGGTGAAAAAATGCCTTGAAATTTGGGGAAAAAAGCAAAAATATTTTGGGAGGTTTTGCAGAATTCAAAAAAATTACTTTGAGGGAAAAAAAATTGGGGGAAAAAATGGTGAAAAACTGGTCAAAAATGGGGAATTTGAGCTCTCAAAATGGCGGCCAAAAGGGGGCGGGGCAAAAGGAAATGATGTCACATGGGTGTGGCCCAACAAAGCCACGTTACTTTAAGTAATAATTAACAAATTAATTTTGTTATTTAAAAAATGATTTAATTACAAATAAATAAATTTAAAATGCTAAAAAAACTCGTGGTGGGTGTGGCTTCATGTGGGGGCGGAGCTTGTGATGATGTCATCAGGCTCCACCCATTCCTCTTCAGGATCCGCCTCTCCCAGGCAGCGACGAATCAGATCTCCCCACAGGAGATGGGTGTGGCATCTGGGGGTGGGGTCAGAGTGAGGACACGCCCCCTTAGACAAAGCCCCTCCCATTTCAGCTGAAATTTGGGTTTCCTTATAAGGAAAATACTCCCCTAGCAACAAGCCCCACCCCTTAGCAACACCTCCAAGCTCCCACAACGCCCTCTAGCGCCTGCCTTGATTTTCCCTTATATGGTAATACCACGCTAGCAACAAGCCCCGCCCCTTAGCAACCCCCTCCCTTTACCCACAGCGCCCCCTAGTGGCCGCGTCGATTTTTTCCCAAAAATCCTCATTTTCAAGCGGATTTTTGGGGCGATTTCGGCCGATTTTGGGCCGGGCACTCACGCGCTGGGGCGGGGCGTGGATGAGGGCGCGGTAGAAGCAGGTGGTCTGCGGGTACAGGGCCAGCACCAGCTGATCCTTGTGGAACAGAGCCTCGGGGTCCGTCTCGGGGTTGGTTTTCCACTGGGGCAGGGGGATGATGCGACGGCGGCTCAGGGTGTGGCGCCTTGTTTTTGGGGCGAAAAAAGGGGATTTTGGGAAAAATGGGAAAGTTTGGGGGGGTTTGGGGGGGTTTATGGGGAGGAATTGGGGTTTTGGCGGGAAAAAATAGGATTTTTTGGGGGGCCAAAGGGGATTTTTATGGGGAGAAAATGGGATTTGTGGGGGAAAAATTGGTAAAAAATTGGGATTTTTATGGGGAATATTTGGGTTTTTTATGGGGGAAAGTTGGGGGGAAATTGGGATTTTTATGGGGAAAAATTGGGATTTTTAAGGGGAAAAATTTGGGGAGAAAATGGGATTTTTATAGGGGAAAAATTGGGATTTTTGAAGGGGAAAATGGCAAAAATTTGGGGGTTTATTGGGGGAAAATTGGGATTTTTATGAGGAAAAGTTTGAGACGAAAATGGGGAAAAAATTGGATTTTTATAGGGGAAAATTTGGGATTTTTGGGAGAAAAAGTTGGGAGTTTTATGGGGGAAAGAATGGGATTTTTTTGGGAAAAATATGGGGGTTTTATGGGGGGAAATTGGGATTTTTTTTCCCATAAAAATCCCAATTTCCCCCCATAAAACCCCCATATTTTTCCCAAAAAAATCCCATTCTTTCCCCCATAAAACTCCCAACTTTTTCTCCCAAAAATCCCAAATTTTCCCCTATAAAAATCCAATTTTTTCCCCATTTTCGTCTCAAACTTTTCCTCATAAAAATCCCAATTTTCCCCCAATAAACCCCCAAATTTTTGCCATTTTCCCCTTCAAAAATCCCAATTTTTCCCCTATAAAAATCCCATTTTCTCCCCAAATTTTTCCCCTTAAAAATCCCAATTTTTCCCCATAAAAATCCCAATTTCCCCCCAACTTTCCCCCATAAAAAACCCAAATATTCCCCATAAAAATCCCAATTTTTTACCAATTTTTCCCCCACAAATCCCATTTTCTCCCCATAAAAATCCCCTTTGGCCCCCCAAAAAATCCTATTTTTTCCCGCCAAAACCCCAATTCCTCCCCATAAACCCCCCCAAACCCCCCCAAACTTTCCCATTTTTCCCAAAATCCCCTTTTTTCGCCCCAAAAACAAGGCGCCACACCCTGAGCCGCCGTCGCATCATCCCCCTGCCCCAGTGGAAAACCAACCCCGAGACGGACCCCGAGGCTCTGTTCCACAAGGATCAGCTGGTGCTGGCCCTGTACCCGCAGACCACCTGCTTCTACCGCGCCCTCATCCACGCCCCGCCCCAGCGCGTGAGTGCCCGGCCCAAAATCGGCCGAAATCGCCCCAAAAATCCGCTTGAAAATGAGGATTTTTGGGAAAAAATCGACGCGGCCACTAGGGGGCGCTGTGGGTAAAGGGAGGGGGTTGCTAAGGGGCGGGGCTTGTTGCTAGGGTGGTATTACCATATAAGGGAAAATCAAGGCAGGCACTAGAGGGCGCTGTGGGAGCTTGGAGGGGTTGCTAAGGGGCGGGGCTTGTTGCTAGGGTGGTATTACCATATAAGGGAAAATCAAGGCAGGCACGAGGGGGCGCTGTGGGAGCTTGGAGGGGTTGCTAAGGGGCGGGGCTTGTTGCTAGGGTGGTATTACCATATAAGGGAAAATCAAGGCAGGCACTAGGGGGCGCTGTGGGTAAAGGGAGGGGGTTGCTAAGGGGCGGGGCTTGTTGCCACGGGAGGTGTTACCATATAAGGGAAAATCAACATGGGCAATAGGGGGCCCTGTGGGTAAAGGGAGGGGGTTGCTAAGGGGCGGGGCTTGTTGCTAAGGGAGGTATCACCATTTAACAGGAAGGTTAAGGTATAGCTTCTTGAGTGGTTGCTAAGGGGTGTGGCTTGTTGCTAAGGGATGTGTTGCCATATAAGGCAATTGCTAAAGCATTGCTTTATGAGGGGTTGCTAAGGCGTGTGGTTTGTTAAGTAGAATGATTGCTATATAAGGGGGTTGTTGGGGGCGTGGCTTGTTGTTAAGGAGAGTCATTGTCATCTATGTTGTCTGACTCAAAATCGGCCGAAATCACGCCACAAATTCACTTAAAAATGAGGATTTTTGGGGAAAAATCAATGCGGCCACTAGGGGGTGCTGTGGGAGCTTGGAGGGTGTTGCTAAGGGGCGGAGCTTCTTGCCAAGGGAGGTCTTACCATATAAGGGAAAATCAACATGGGCGATGGGGGCACTGTGAGTAAAGGGAGTCGGTTGCTAAGGGGCGGGGCTTGTTGCTAAGGTAGGGGTTACCATATGAGGGAAAATGAATGTGGGCACTGTGGGTAAAGGGAGAGGGTTGCTAAGGGGTGGGGCTTGTTGCTAAGGGAGGTGTTACCATATAAGGGGAATGCTAAGGTATTGCCTTATGAGGCGTTGCTAAGGGGTGTGGCTTGTTGCTAAGGGAGGTATTACCATATAAGGGAAATGCTAAGGTATTAATTTACGAGGGGTTGCTAAGTGATGTGGTTTGTTGCTAAGTAGAATCATTGCTATATAATGGGGTTGCTAAGGGGTGTGGCTTGTTGCTAAGGAGAGGCATTGCCGTCCATGTTGTCTGACTCAAAATCGGCCGAAATCACCCCAAAAATCTGCTTGAAAATGAGGATTTTTGCGAAAAAATCAACGCGGCCACTAGGGGGCGCTGAGGGTAAAGGGAGGGTGTTGCTAAGGGGCGGGGCTTGTTGCTAGGGTGGTATTACCATATAAGGGAAAATCAAGGCAGGCACGAGGGGGCGCTGTGGGAGCTTGGAGGGGTTGCTAAGGGGTGTGGCTTGTTGCTAAGGCAGGGATCACCATGTAAGGGAAATGCTAAGGTATTGCCATATGAGGGGTTGCTAAGGGGTGGAGCTTGTTGCTAAGGAGAGGCATTGCCACATAAGGGGGGTTGGAAAGTGCCCTATTACCTTATAAGGAGGTTGCTAAGGGGCGTGGCCTGTTGCTATGCACCTATTACCATATAAGGAAGCAATCTGGGGGCATGGTTCCTTTTCTAATTCTTATTTTTTCCCAAAAATCCCAAATTTTTCCCCAAATTTCCCAGCCCCAGGATGATTATTCGGTGCTTTTCGAGGACACCTCCTACGCCGACGGTTACTCCCCACCCCTGAACGTGGCACAGCGATACGTGGTGGCCTGCAAAGAGACCAAAAAAAAGTGAAAATTGGGGAAAAACGACAGAAAATTCGGGGAAAACGACCAAAAATTTGGGGAAAACGACCCAAAATTCAGGAAGAGCGGCCTGGAATTAAGGGGGGAGGGGAGAATGGGGGAAAAAAATGAGATTTTTGGGGGGAAAAATGGAAAAAATGTGATTTTTTTAAGGGGAAAAATGAAGGGGTTTTGAGGGGAAAATGTAATAAAAATTGGCATATTTCTGGAAAAATTTTGGGGTTTTTTATCAAGAAAAAATGGGGTTTATGTGGGGGGAAAAATGGGATTTAAAAGGGGAAAAACGGAAAAAAATCAGATTTTTTAACGGGGAAAAATTGGGATTTTTGTGGCAGGAAATAGGGAGTTTGTGGGGGAATAAATGGGATTTTTTTGTGGGGAAATTGGGATTTTTATGGGTAAAAAAATGGGAATTTTGGGATTGTTTTTGGGGAAAAATAAGGATTTTTATGGGGAAAAACGGGGTTTTCATGAGGAATAAATTTGTAGTTTTTGGGCGCAAAAAATGGGATTTTTAGTGGGAAAAATTAAGATTTTTTTGGGGGAAAATTTGTTGTTATTGGGGGAAAACAGAGTTTTGGAAGGAAAGTGAAAATTCTTTTGAGAAAAAATTGACTTACAAGGTAAAACACATTTTATAACAAGCTCCGCCCCCTGGCAGCCATCTTGGAATCTTTCTTACAAGATAAAACACATTTTATAACAAGCTCCGCCCCCTGGCAGCCATCTTGAAATCTTTCTTACAAGATAAAACATATTTTATAACAAGCTCCACCCCCTGGCAGCCATCTTGAAATCTTTCTTATAAGATAAACCACACTTTATAAGCAGCTCCACCCCCTGGCAGCCATCTTGCTACCTTTCCTTATAAGGAAGAAGGCCTTAGAAAGAAGCACCGCCCCCTAACAGCCATCTTGGAAAATTTCCATATAAGGTAATGGATGATGAACAAGCCCCGCCCCCAAGCACAAGCCCCGCCCCTTTCTCACCTGGGACAGGCGCCCCCTACTGGCAGCAGCTGCCGGGGCTCCGGGGCCAGGAAGAGCCGGGCCAGGCAGGCGGGATGGGCGGCCATCTTGCACTGGGGGCGGGGACAGCACAAAAGGGGCGTGGCCTGTGCCTAAAAGGGGTGTGGAAACGTCAAAACCCAAAAATTCCTGCTCCAAAAGCATTCATTTGTATAAAATTTAAATTTAAGAAGGTTTTATTGATTTAAAAGCACAGTCGTTAATTAAGAAATGATCAGGCCACGCCCAAATTCTAAAATTTGCATAATTCAATATTTTTAAGCAGAAAAATTCACCAATTTTTAATTTTTACACCTGCAGAGGTCACGCCCCTTTTAGGCCACACCCACTTTCCAGACCATTGGCTGTACCCATTTTAGCCACACCCCTTCACCTCATAAAAAGCTCCACCCACTTTAAGCCCCTCCCACTTTGTCCCATACCCAGTTAAGCTCCACCTATTCAAGCACCTCCCACTTTAAGCCCCTCCTACTTTCAACAATTCAAGCCCCACCCCTTTAAGCCACACCCACCTCATTAAACCGCTAAACTCCTCCCCTTTTAAGCCCCGCCCACATCATCAAACAATCTAAGCTCCTCCCCCTTTAGCCCAACCCTCAAGCCCCTCCCCTTTAGGCCCCACCCTTTAAGCTCCGCCCCTTACCTCCCCACACAGGCCACACCCACAATCCTCCACCTCCACCTCTTGACTCCGCCCCTTTTTCCTTTTAAGGCGCGGCAGCCCCGCCCCCTCCTCCTCCACCACGTGAGGGGGCGGGGCCAACTCCAGGGCGGGGCGCGGTGGGCGGAGCCAGCGGATTTTTAACGGGAGGCGGGACCAGGGCGGGGCCCGGAGGAGGCGGGGCAAGAGGCGGAGGGCGAAGCTGATTGGCTGCTCCCGGGGGCGGCGAGGGGGCGGGGCCAAGAGGCAGCGGGAGGAGTTTGGGTGTTGCCACGCCCACTCGAACTGAAAGGAAGGGGCGGGGCTTAAGTTTTAAGAAAAGGGGGAGGGGTTTTGTTGGGATTAATGAGGTGGGCGGGGCTTGAGTGGGGTGAGGATTAAGTGGGTGAAGCTTAAAGGAATAATTAAAAAGTGGGAAGGACTTTAAAGGGGAGAGTTTTAAATAGGGCTTAATGAGGTGGGCGGGGCTTAATTGGGTGGGGTTTAAAAGTGGGAGGAGCTTAATTTATAAGTGGATTGTTTTAATTAGATTTAATGAGGGGGCGGGGCTTGCATGGATGCGGCTAGAAAGTGGGAGGGGCTTAATGTTAAGGGATTAGCATAGGATTTAGTGAGGTGGGCGGGGCTTACATGGGTGGGGTCTTAAAGTGGGAGGAGCTTACATTAATGGAAGAGTTTCAGCTGGATTAATGAGGTGGGCGGGGTTTGTAGGTTGGGTTTAAAAGTGGGAGGGGCTTAAAGGAGGAGGGCTTTTAGACATATTAGTAAAGTGGGCAGGGCTTACATGGGTGGGGTCTTAAAGTGGGAGGAGCTAATCTTAAAGGAGGAGGGGTTTAATATGGATTAATGTGGGCGGGGCTTAAATGAACAGGGTTGAAAAGTGGGAGGGGCTTAAACTATAGAGGGGTTTAAGATGGATTAATGAGGTAGGCGGGGCTTAAGTGGGAGTGGCTTAGATAAAAAGAGGAGGGGTTTTAGATGGATTAATGAGGTGGGCGGGGCTCCAGTGGGAGTGGCTTAAAGGAGGAGGGGTTTAAGGTGCATTAATGAGGTGGGCGGGGCTTCTGTAGGGTTTGTTTCAAAGTGGGAGGGGCTTAAAGGAGGAGGGATTTAAGATAGAATAATGAAGTGGGTGTGGCTTGAATGGGTGTGGTCTTGAAGTGGGAGGAGCTCATCTTAAAGGAGGAGTCGTTTAAGATGGATTAATGAGGTGGGCGGGGCTTAAATGAATGGGGTTGAAAAGTGGGAGGGGCTTAAACTAAAGGAGGAGATGTTTAAAATGGATTAATTAGGTAGGCGGGGCTTAGGTGGGAGTGGCTTAGACTAAAACAGGAGGGGTTTAAGATGGTTTAATGAGGTGGGCGGGGCTAAAAAGGGGGCGTGGCTCACCCTGAGGGCGGCGACGTCGGAGGGGAAGCCGTGGACGAAAAGTTCCATTTCCCTTTGTTTGGGGAAAAATGTTGAAAATTGCCTCAAAATTCATTTAAAATCAAAAAGAACTACTTGAGATAATTAATTTTAAAAATAATTAACGTATTTTTAATTAAATAGTATTGAAAATCTCCCTTTAAACCCCCCAAAATCTCTCTAAAATCCCCCAAAATCCAGCTTTAAATCCCTTTAAAGCCCCCAAAATCCTCTTTTAGCTCCTCATGTCCCCCCAGAATCCGCCTTGAATCCCCCCAAATTCCTTTAAACCCCTCAAAAGTCCTCTCAAATCCCCTTTGAACCTCCCCAAATCCCCCTTTAATCCCTGTAAAACCCCCCCATCCCCCAAATCCCCCTTTAAACGCCCCCAAAACCCCCCTGAGCCCCCCCAAATCCCCTTGAAATCCCTTCAATCCCCCCCGGCTCCCGCACCAGGGCCCTCTCCCGCTGGTCCTGCGGGCTCCCCCCCTCCTCCTGCCGCCGTTGTGCTGCCGCAGCCGCCGCCGCGGATCCACCGTGAAGCCCACGTAGGTTCGGCCCCGGCACCGGCCCTGAGGGGCGGCGGAGCGCAGCAAATACACCGCCCTCATCGCCGCCATCGCCGCCCCACAATGCCCCGGGGCGGCTTCCGGTCCAACGCAGCCGCTTCCGCCTCGGTATAGGGGAGGGTTTGTGCCTCGGTACCCACAATGCTTTGCGAAGAGAGGCATTTCCAATGTGTTTTGCCTCGGCAAAAATGGCGGCGGGTTTGCCTCGGTACCCACAATGCATTGCGGAAGGGTAACGTACTTTTGCCTCGGTAAAAATGGCGGCGGGTTTGCCTCGTTACCCACAAAGCATTGCGGTTGGTGAGGGGGAACTGCCTATTTCTCCAATTCGGTAAAAATGGCGGCGGTTTTCCCTCTGCATCCACAATTCATTAAAGAGGAGGAGGAGGACAGGAGGAGGAGGAAGAGGAAGAACAGGAAGAGAAGAAATTTATTTTATTTTTATGATGCGTTAATTTGTGGAGGGTTTGCCTCGTTACCCACACTGCATTGCGGTCCGTGAAGGGACCTTCCAGTTTTTCCGCCTCGGTAAAAATGGCGGCGTTTTTGACTCGGTGCCCAGAACTCATAAAAGAGAATAAGTAGGAGGAGGAGGAGGAGGAAGAAGAGGAAAAATTTTCTCCTTTAATGCTCGGATTTCCGCCTCGGTAAAGCTGTGGAGATTTTGCCTCGCTACCCACAGTGCCTTGCGACCCCTGAGGGGAAACTTCCGGTTGTTCCGCCTCGGTAAAAATGGCGGCCGTTTTCCCGTGGCACCCACGGGGTTTATGCCTCGGTACCCACAATGCATCGCGAGCCCTGCCATTGTGAGGGATTGCTGCCCCCTCCGGTCCTTACTGGTGTCACTGGTGCCCTCACTGCGGTCATTTCTCCCGTACTGGTTCCGTACTGGTCACTTCTGATCCCGTACTGGTTCTTACTGGTGGCACTGGTGCCTTTAGTGCGGTCACTTCTCTCTTACTGGTCCAAACTGGTTCGTACTGGGCCCTCACTGTGCCCACACGGAATGGGAGAGCTGCACTTCCGCCTCGTTACCCATAAACCCTTGCGAGACACCTACTTTTGCCTCGTTACCCACAAGCCTCTGCAAAAACCTTCCCATTTGCCTCGCTACCCACAATGCTTTGCTTCGTTTCCGCCTCGGTGCCCACAACACCCCGCGCGGAGCGGAAGTGACGCAGGCGGAAGCGGAAATGGAGCCTCCCACAGCGGAGGAGCTGCGGCTGCGGCTCCAGGAGCGGCTCCAGGCCGAGCACGTGGTAATTAATTCCCTAATTAATTAATTAACCGCTGATTATCCGCAGCCGCGGTTTTCTTAGGATGGGGAGGGCGTTAATTAGCCGGGATGGCGGTTAATGGGCGGTTGGGGGGCGTTAATTAGGAGGGGGAGGGGTTAATTAGGGTTAATTAGGGTATTAATGACGGTTGGGAGGGTTTAATTAGTGCTTGGAGGGTTCATGAGTCGGTGTTAATTATGACTTTGTTAACCTGGATTGTAGTTAATTAGTGTTTAATGGTGACTGATTAGCGCCTATCTGGTGTTAATTAGTGGCTAATGGCGGCTAATTAGTAATTATCTTCTGTTAATTAACAGGTCAGGAGTGTTAATGAGTGTCTAACGGGAGTTAATTAGCAATTAAGGTGTGTTAATTAGAGCCTAACAGCTGTTAATTAGCGGCTAATTGGTTCTAATTACTGATAAATGGATCTTAATTAGTGTTTGACAGCTTTCAATTAGTTTGTAATTGGTGTTAATTAACGGTTGGGGTGGTAATTATAGATATTAATTAAATTGCAGTAATGGTAAGAGGTCAATGGGTGTTAATTAGTGAAGAATTGGTGTTAATTAAGTGCTGAAAACAACTAATTGGCATTTAGTGGGTGCCAATTAGCAATTAATAGGTGTTAATTAGCGGTTGGATTGTTAATTGTGTCTCTAATTGTTAACTTTATACATTATTAATTAGATTGTAGTTATAATAGGTGTTTAATAGGCATTAATTACTGTTAATTAGTGCCAAAATTTTGCTAATTAGGGGTCAATAACCGCTAATTAACAGTTAACAGGACTCAATTAGTATTTAATTTGTGTAATTAGTGGTTGAGGGCGCCAATTCTATTGATTAATTAAAGCTCTAATTACAACAAGTGGCTAATGGGCAGTAATTAACACTAATTACTCCTAATTATTATTCATGGCTAACGGCGGGGTGAATGAAGGGTTAATTGGCGCTAATTAGCGCTAATTAGCGCTAATTGCAGGAGGTGCAGGACTCCCCCCAGCTGTGCCAGGGCAGCTTCCGCGTCTTCGTCGTTTCCGGAATTTTCCGCGGCCTCAGAACCCTGCAGCGGCACTTTAAATGGGATTCAATTGGGGAATGGGAGGGGCTTAAGTGGAATTTAAATGGAAAGTGGGTGGGACTTAAATGGGGAATGGGAGGGGCTTAAATGGGGATTGGAGTGGGAAATGGGCGGGGCTTATGTGGGGTTTAAATGGGGAGTGGGCGGGGCTTAAATGGAGATTGAAAAATTAAATGGGCGGGGCATAAATGAGGTTGAAAAGGGGGATGGGCGGGGCTTAGATGGGATTGAAATGGCAAGTGGGCGGGGCTTAAATCAGGTTAAAATAGGGAATGGGCAGGGCTTAAATGAGGATTGGAATGGGAAAGGGGCGGGGTTTAAATGGGATTCAATTGGGGAATGGGAGGGGCTTAAGTGGAATTTAAATGGAAAGTGGGTGGGGTTTAAATGGGGAATGGGCGGGGCTTAAATGAGGATTGTAGTGGGAAAGGGGCGGGGCTTAAGGGGGCTTAAGGTGGAGAAATGGGCGGGGCTTAAATGGGATTTCAATGGAAAGTGGGTGGGGTTTAAATGGGGAATGGGCGGGGCTTAAATGAGGATTGGAATGGGAAATGGGCGGGGCTTGAATCAGATTTGAATTGTGAAAGGGGGGGGGCTTAAATGGAGTTTGAAAATTTAAATGGGGTTGAAATGATGAGGGGCGGGGCTTAAATGGGGTGTAAATGGAAAGGGGCGTGGCTTAAGTGGGGTTGAAATGGGGAATGGTCAGAGCTTAAGTGGGATTGGAATGGGAAAGGGGCGGGGCTTAAATGAGGAAGTGGGTGGGGCTTAAATGAGAGTTGCTAAGGGGTGGGGGGGTTGCTAAGGGGTGTTGATATTGTGAAAGGGGCGGGGCTTAACTAGGACTGGCTGGATGAGGTGGGCGGGGTTTAAAGTGGGTGTGGCAAAGGGGGCGGGGTCTAAAGGGAATGGAGGAGATTAATGAGGGGCTTTAATTAAGCAGATAATTAATGAAGTTAGGGGGTTTAATGGATTGGTTAATTAATTAATGGATTAATTAATTGATTAATTAATTGATTGATTAATTAATGGATTAATTAATGGAGCAAGGGGGTTAATGAGGGGCTTTATGGATGGGTAAATTAATTACAGGATTAATTAATTAATGGCGTGAGGGGGGATAATGAGGGATTTTAACAGATGGGTTAATTAATGGGATTAATTGATTAATTGCATGCATGGATGGATTAATTAATGAATGGATTACTTAATTATGTGAGGGGTTTAATGAGGGGTTTTCATGGATGAATTAATTAATGGATTAATTAATGGATTAATCAATGGAGTGAGGGGGGTTCATGAGCGTTTTTAACAGACGCATTAGCTAATTAATGGATTACTTAATTAATTACATGATGGGGTTAGCGAAGTGGTTATTTAGGGGTAAATTAATTAATTAACGGGGCTAATTAGCGGCTAATTAACCGCAGGCTCGTTAACGAGGCGCTGAAGGAGGAGCTGGGCCGGATCCACGCCCTGGAGCAGCGGACGCTGACCCCCGAGCAGTGGGAGGCGGAGCGCGGCTCATTAGCATAAATCTGCATACCAATTTCCCCCATCCCAGCTTCATTTACATGGATTTGCATAAATTCCCACAGCCCGGCTCTGATTGGTCGAGGCCACGCCCCCTTTAGGGCCTGAAATGGAGGCGGAAGAGGGCGGAGGTGGCGCTCATTTGCATAAGTTTGCATAAAAAGGCAATAAACATTCCTCATTTGCATGTTGTGGTGATGTCATCATTCGTTCAGGGCAGCTCTGGGTGGGGTTACTTTGCATAAATTTGCATAGCAGCAATAAACATTCCTAATTTGCATATAGGGTAATGTCTTCCTTGGGTAAGGACTGATTTGTGGTGTGGCTTATTTGCATAAATTTGCATAGAACACAATATACTTTCCTCATTTGCATATTCTGGTGCCGTCATTGGGTGAGAGAAACTTTGGGGTGTGGTTTATTTGCGTAAATTTGCATAAAGGCTGCAAACATCTCATTTGCATACAGTAGTGATGTCATTGGGTGCAGGCTGCTTTCGAATCGGGTTTGATTTACATAAATTTGCCCAGAGGCAACCAACACCCCTCATTTGCATATAGCAGTGATGTCATCCTTGCGTGAGGGCTTTGCAATGGGGGTAGATTTGCATAAATTTGCATAAAGTCAACCCGCCTCCCTCATTTACATGCCGTGACTTCATCCTCAGGCAAAGGGAGTCTTTAGGATAGGCTTATTTTGCATAAATCTGCATAAAATTTACATAAATTTGCCATTATTTAGCTGGGAGGTGCTGCCAGTCCGAGCCCCCAGCGCTGCCATTGCGGCGCCTCGCGGTGCATTGTGGGTACGGAGGCGGAAATGCCCCTTATTCCCGCAATGCATTGTGGGTACCG